CCCTACATATACAGTTGGAGCCATAGGTCCCTCTCTATGTGCCCCCAGGCTGGTGGTTTAGACCCTGGGAGTTCTGATTGGTTGATATTTTTGCTCTCCCTATGGAGCCACAAACCCTTTCAGCTCCTTCAGTCTTCTCTCTAACTTCTCCATTGGGAACCCCATGATCAGCTCAATGGTTAGCTGTGAGCATCCGCCTTTGTATATTTCAGGATCTAGCAGACTTCTAAGGAAACAGCTATATCAGGCTCCTGTCAGTATGCACTTCCTGGCATCTACATCAGTGTCTACCTTTGGTGACTGCACAAGGGATGGATACCCAGGGGAAGCAGTCTTGGATGGTCCCTCCTTCCGTTTCTGTCTCACACTTTGTGTCCATATTTGCTCCCATGAGTATTTTGTTACCCCTTCTAAGAAGGGCCAAAGCACCCACACTTTGGCCTTCCTTGTTCATGAGCTTCATGTGGTCTATGAGTTGTTTCTTGGATATCAAGAACTTTTGGGGTAATATCCAATTATCAGTGAGTACATGCCATGTGTGTTCTTTTGTGATTGGGTTACCTCACTCAGGATGATATTTTCTAGTTTCATCCATTTACCTAAGAGTTTCTCAAAGTTATTGTTTTTAATAGCTGAGTAATATTCCATTATGTAAATGTACCACATTTTCTGTATCCATTCCTCTGTTGAAGGACATTTGGGTTCTTTCCAGCTTCTGGCTATTATAAATAAGGCTGCTATGACCATAGTGGAGCATGTATCCTTGTTATATGTTGGAGCATCTTCTGGCTATATTCCCAGAGTGGTATAGCTGGCTCCTCAGGTAACGCTATGTCCAATTTTCTGAGGACCTGCTAGACTGATTTCCAGAGTGGTTGCACCATCTTGCAATCCCACCAAATATGGAAGAGTGTTCCTCTTTCTCCACATCCTTGCTAGCATCTGCTATCACCTAAGTTTTTGATCTTGGCCATTCTGACTGATGTCAGGTGGAATCTCAGGGTTGATTTGATTTGCATTTCCCAGATGCCTAAGGATATTGAACATTTCTTTAGATGCTTCTCAGCCATTCAAGTTTCCTCAGTTGGGAATTCATTTTTAGCTCTGTACCCCATTTTTAATAGGGTTATTTGGTTGTCTGGAGTCTAATTTCTTGAGTTCTTTGTATATATTGGATATTAGTCCTCTATTGGTTGTAGAATTGGTAAAGATCTTTTCCCAATCTGTTGGTAGCCCTTTTGTCCTATTGACAGTGTCCTTTGCCTTACAGAAGCTTTGTAATTCACGAGTTCCCATTTGTCAATTCTTGCTCTTACAGCATAAACCATTTGTGTTCTGTTCAGTATAGGCACAATGCCTATATGAGAGTAACAATATTAATCCCAATTTTATATCAATAAGAAATTCATACCAATGAAAACTTTAAATTTATACAAAATAAATTCTGTACCAATGTAAGAGATTATAACTTCAACTTTGTATCAATGATAAAGATTTCTACCAATAGGTTATGGCTATGTAATCAATTCTAGCTATTCCTCCCTGCTCCAATAAAACCATTACTTTTCCTTAGAAAGACAGCCTAATATTAACCACCTCAGTCCCTGATCCCTGGGAATAGAGGCGCCAACTCTTCATTAACTTCTTCAAACTGAATATGGGTGTTGAGATATTAGAAGAGGGGCAGGGGAAAGGTAAATTGATAAACAGCTGAAATCTGTGTCTTCACTGCATCCAGCTGAAATTCCAGGACATCAGAGAATCGAGCAGGTCTGCTCAGCTTGCTTGTTGAGTAGATACACCAAAGCTGTGTATTCTGCAATATACAATTCTGCAATATATAAATATATTCTGCAATATACAAATTTTAGTATCAAAACAATTTTCTGTTTGAATTCTGGAATCTAGTCTTCTGGCAGCTTGCCTCTGTCATGTGTTATCCATATAATTCTGGGAGGTAGCAATACCTTAATCATCACCTCTGAAAACCACAGACAAAGCCTTTTCCCAAGTGTTTCCTTGAGCCAGTAACCAGAAAAATCTTTATGTTGACCTCTTTCCCAGAGGAAAAATATAACCACAAAATTGAAAATCACACCTATCTTGACAATAAAATCAATTTAATAACTAAAATACTGTATGTGCCTATTCTTAGGCCTTTCCTATTTTGCCAAGCAGGAAATGAACCCAGAATTCCTGTGGGGCTCACGTTAGACAGAACCCGAGTCTCCTGTGAGGTAATATAACTTTATATCATCTGAATACACCTCATTTACACTATCTTTCTGTTTGGCTCTCTGTCAGAACAGTCTCTATTTATACACTGTATTCTCTACTCTGGAGTCAGTGACAATTTTCCCTATCTTAACTAAAGTACTGTATATGCCTATTCTTAGGCTTTCCCTATCTTGCCAAGCAGGAAATGAACCCAGAATTCCGAGTCTCCTGTGAGGCAATATAACTTTATATCATCTGAATACATCTGATTTACACTATCTTTCTGTTCAGCCCTCTGCCTAGAACAGTTTTTTATTTATACCATCTATCTGTTTGGCTCTGTACTCCAGAGCAGCTTCCACTTAAACACTGTACTCTCTACTCTAGAGCCAGTGGCAATTTTCCCTAAGTTCCAAACTGCGGGTGATAATCCCCAGGAGATTCGGACAAATCTGTTTATAAATCTTTCCTAAAAGCAAATAATCTCTATATTTTAACTGTATACTTAAATCAGTAACTGCTTCACAATGGAGGCTTATTTATTTAGCTCTCCTGGCTAAAATGTATACCTGTCTGTCTGTGCTTCTGTGCCTAGAGCCACAGACAAATTTTTTCTACCTTTTTTCTGAACCACAAGCAAGATTCCTCACGTGAATTGGACAAAACTATTTCTAAATCTATCTTAAAAACAAATAATCTCAATTTTAATTCACAAATCTCCCTGCTCTAAAAGTAAGCTACTTTCTTCTTTTCTTAACAAAAAGCAACCTGTGTTTCCCCACAGCAGGTGACAAGCAGTTTTTTTTTTTTTTGTTTTTTGTTTTTTTTGTTCAGGGTTCCTGTGCTAGGAGTCACATGACTTATCTCAGCACTTACTCACTTTCTTTTTTTTTTTTTAATACATCTTTTACTCTCAGGTGAAATAGGTGTAAATTTCTAGTGAATTTGTGCCAGATATTGGTTGCCACTTTGTTGAGGGTAATCTTTAAAAATAATGGCACCCAATCTTGCTTGTTCTTAATTAGCCACCATCTTCTGGAATAGACAAGGCCTGTGGCCATGAGCAGCAGCAAATTATAACCACTGCTCAGCACAGGCCGTTGGCTCAGACCACCAGCGCAGGCAGCCAGAAACACCGGCCCTACCACCCACAAGATGCCAGAGTGGGAGATGGCTTTGCCAATCTTCCACACTATCTGCACAAGGCTGGGCTAATCCCAGACCATCCCACCATCCATGCGGGCCTGGTAAAAATGAGCCTCTAATGCTTAGATCATCCAAAGGCTTTATATGTTTGGAAATGCTCAATAACGAGATACCTACACAATTGGAGGTGTTTCCCAATTAACTAATCTAGATATAAGTTGTTATCCCAGACTGCTCTTGATCCAAGTGTGGTTCTCCATCCTCCTACATCTCTGCCTCCCTAGCTCCCCCTCCTCCTTCTCCTTTTTCTCTTCTTCCTCTTCTTCTTCCTCTCCTTACTCCTCCTACCTCAGCTCCTCCCAACTTGCAGAGAAAATATGCTGCTACATACTAACATGAATATTTTTGAAGTAGTATATACCTTCTTAAAGGAAGTATTTATATTATTGTTCTGTTTTACATACCTATGTTCAGAAAAATTAGTGAGCAGTACTTTAACTTATAATCTTAAATGCCTACCACAAGTATCTCCTATCTTAAGCCTGTGTGACATTATTTAAAACTCTATCTATTATAATTTTTGTTTCCCTCTTTGGAGATATTTCCTGAATTATGTAGGAGTCAAAAAGGGCCCAGGAATTAAGGCCAACATTTGGCAAATGGGACCCCATAAAATTAAGAGTTTCACACATCATAATCAACAATTGAGTAAAGAAAAAGCTAATGGAGTGGGAGAGAACCCTTGTCCATTATACTTCTGATAAGGTATTAATATCCAGAATATGTTAAGAACTCAAAGAACAGAGAGTCTCAAACAAATAATTTCGTCAGAATGGGCCATGGATAAGAATATGTTCTTAATCAGTCTTTGAGAGCAAATGTTGTTGAAGAACCTGTAGATTGTTTCTTAGTACAGATATCTAAAGCCTTAATCCTTAAATTTGTTTTCCAATGCCTATTAGATGAAAGAGGTTTGGAATCAGTTAAGCTTAATTACTGTAGAGTGGAGGTGTTGATTATGCCAGTTATTATCAATTAGGCATATTAATAGACACATATGGTGTTTTGCTTTTATATAGGCAAAATTGGCCTCTTTACATCCTTTTCTAAGGAGGGGTCTGATGTTTATATTTTTTTCTAATAGTGCAAGGCTGATCTCATCTTGAATTATTAGAAACCTCATCAACATATTTGCTTTTATTTCTTCACTTATTAGTTGACTACTTCATTCATCAATTCATAGATTCATGGTTTTTAAATCACCAGCTAGTCACTTAAAGATTTATAGATTCTCAGACACATTATAAAACTTTAAAGGTAATAGTGAAAACATTAATTCATTCTATTTGATATACTATTTATACTTTTTAAAAGGTGAGCAAAATCATCACCATATACTAAAAAACATTTCAGATCCTTAAGAATAGGAGAGAAATCAGAACATTAAGACAGACTGTTGTAAAACAATGAAGTATATATTTTTAAGACCCTGACAGAAAATCACAAACAACTAAAAAATCAGAATGCAGAGCTATGGAGCCTTGTCCCAATGAATACATATACAAAACTCTCCTACATTTAAGCATCAGGCAATATTATGGAAGAACAATAGAAAGACTATAAGAGTCAGAAGATAGTTCCCTTGGTGATGGGCAAAGAAACACCTTGGTGGTGGAGTTCTTATATTAGTCAGGGGCACAGCAGATGAAGTCCTTTGTTCATCCTAGTTTGATGTCTGACTTGATGGCTAAAGTTGTTTTATGCATAGGACACATAAATATCAAATCAAATCAAATCAAATCAAATCAAATCAAATCAAATCAAATCAAATCAAATCCAGGCAGCACAGTGGTGAAGGAGAAAGACAGAATGAGATCAGCAGACCACCATGCCACCCACCAATTTGCCCTCCAGTGCTTGGCACAGATGGGCCACAGAGGCTTGCTGGCATGCCACATATTGTGCATAGAGGATGTCATTCAGGGGCATTCCAGTTACGTGGCCAGCCTGTAGCTAGAGCCACCTCAGTGTACCAGTATGTGGTGGTCAGATGAGAGAGAAAGAGAAATGGAGGAGGTTGGGCATTATGAAGAATGACAGAACTGAAGACTTAAGGGTAGAGTGGAGTAGCCTTTTGTGAGTGGTCAGCTGTAAGGAGCCATAATGAGACAAGCTAATAATTAGCAGGTGATCATCCTGAAATGGCTTGCCTTGGATTATTATATAATCTGTGACAAGTGAGAACTTATTCAGCAAGGCTGTAAGGGACTTATTTTAGGAAAAATTCCTGCTATTAATTTGATTTTCCTATTATTATTAAATATATGTAACAATCACTAAGCAATATCACACCCCTTTAGAGCAGATCTCTGAAGATCCACGAAGATATACTGTCCTGTAGTAATGCTATATAGACAAATAAATGACTTCTTAAGTCTTAATAATGATCTTATAAGAATTCCTAAAATTATATCAATGATTATTAAGCTCTTTAGAGTGGGACTGCTATTAGGTCCCTTTATGATAGTCAAAACTGCAATGAGAACTCTGCCAGTCTCCCAAATGTAATCAGTTAATTGCTTTTAGATAGTAACCAGACTTTCTCCTACTCAGAGCACATTCCAAGAGGTTGTAAAATGATTGACTAAAGATCACTAAAAGGGAACTAACAATTTACTGTAGGTGCTAGGATAGAAGATAAAATATTGCCTGGGTTTATCTATATAAAACTTCACTAATTTTTTAGTTATAGTTGTAACCCTTTAGTGAACCTGTGGAGTTAGACCGGTGATGGATGTTTAGCCAGATAATTACTCCTAATGAATATGCATGTAAACATTCTCTGTTGTAAACTTCTATTTTAATTTATGATTTGATTTTTGGTGTGAACTTGTGATGAGCTTTGTAACATGTTCTCTGAACGATGTATAAGTACTGAAGGCAAAGACAAAGAGAGGGTCATTCGTTCCTTCCCATCCTTTTCCCCTGCCTAGAATTTTTCCCTTAGAATTTTTTCCTTATTAGAATTTTTTCCTTTTTCTCCACTTAGGACCTTTCCACTTTTCCCCTTAGATAGCTTTCATAGGAAACTTTTTACACTTAGTAATAAACTCTATAATAACTTCTCTAAGTGTTTTTTCTTCCTCCGACCTCAGACTAGCAGGCATAAGCTAGAGCTCAACAGTTCCTGTTTAGATCATACAAAGGTTATTTACTTAATCATTTGCTGTTTTTAGGATAAGGTGATAAGTCCAAGAAACTGCAGTTTCTGGCTTCAGCAGATCACAGAAGGCACGTCAGCTACAGTAGCATAGTAAGTAAATTTTTCTAGCATAGATTAGTAAACTTTTATTATACAGCAACTCTAAATATCTTTTAAGACCAAAGTCTTACCCCGAATCTAGTATGACCACATCTTAAACCTGCCAATGCTCTTCCCCCTCTGCTGCCTCAAGAAGAACCGACAAGAAGAGAAGAAAAAGACTTACCCACCAGGCTGGGGCTGCCTTGCCCCAGCAGTCAGCCATGCCACCTGGGTCATGACATGGTCCCAGCCCAAGCTGCTGCTGAGGGCCATGTCTGACACTGTGGCTATGCAGTGGCAGGGTTTGGTGTTAATGTCCTTGGCTCATATTACCACTAAAGAACATGGGAATGTCCCTGAGGAGGGCAGTAGCAGAAGGTTACCTGGATGTCCAGGGAGCTGTATAAAACTGAACCTGACTCTCACTGGATACAGCACTCTGGAGAACTGGCCTCATCTCTCACCTCTGGCAACACTCAGGAGAGCAGGTCCTGCATATCCATCCAGGCAGCACAGCAGAGCTAGTTCTGTTGCCAGGGGTGGAGGTGAGGGCATGAGTGTTGGGGAACTGATCCAACTATTCATCTGCCATGGGGTGGCATGGGTATAGTGGTGTCCACTTCCTCACCCCTGAGTCATCCTCTGGCATTCAGAAAAGCTGCCCACAGGGTTATAAGCTCATGAGAGCTATCCCTGCCCCTGAACTAGCTACAGCACTAAGGAGAGTAGGCCCTCCACTTTGCCTGGGAAAACAGTGGAGCTGGCTCTAATGGCACAGGCACAGGTGAGCATTTCTGGAGAGTGTGAGAGTGGGAGAGCTGGCCCAGCCCTTCACTGGCTCTAGCACTTGGGAGAGTGGGTTCTGAACCTTGCAAGTGGGTGCACCAAGGTGAAGCTGGCTCTGGAGGCATGAGAAGATGAGAACTGACCCTGCCTCCTGCTGATAGGTACACTGGGTGGTCTAGACAGATCAATGCTGGAAAGCTCACCCTGGTGGTGGGGTAGGATAAGGGAGAGCTGGTGGGCATCATACAGCTTCCATGAAGAGATGTTTTCTATCCTTTTGTTGTTGTTTGTTGTTTGTGTGTTTTTATTTTGGGAGAAGGTTGGAAGGGCAAAGGATAGATATGAGGGGACAGGGAGATGGATGGGACTGGGGCTAATGATGTGAAACTCACAAAGAATCAATAAAAACTTAAATAAAAATGAGTCAGTGAATTTGCTGTGAGATTGTCTTCTAGGAATTGTCAGAAGTTATGCAGATAATGTCATGAGCAGACTGCCCAAATGTAAGCTGACACAGCATGACACCAATGGCTTTGTCAAAGTAAGTGGAGGAAAAGACAACAAGGCCTCAAGCCTGCACAAAATACTACAGGCACTGGAGGATTTCTTTGGTTCTGGTGACTGTCTTTGGGGTGTTATTTTTGGAGAGAGAAATTTAGATGAGAAATAATGTGATAGAACCTTCTAATGCTAATGCTTTTTTACGCTTTTATATTACAACTTCTGCCTGACCGATGGCTGTCTGTCAAGAATAACTGGACATCATTACTTCATGAAATTAATAGTGAGCATAAAGTAAAATGAAGAACTATCCTATTCTCCAGGTATTTTTTCTGCCTAGTCCCAAGCGCTTCATTATTTATTTATAGTGGTTCAGGATAAATGCATACATGGCCTGTGTATGCATCTGATAAAACGTGTTAAACATCACCCAGAAGTTGGCAGCAAGGCATAGAACTCACATCTACTCACACTGATTTACCTCAAGCAAGCTGCAGTCAAAACTGTTAATAAGCTACGTTTCTAACCAGCCTCACTTGGATATCACTGGCTATTCTTTCTCTAAGCAATTATTCTCTGGATTAGTCAAATTTATATCACTGCAAATTACATCACTTTAAGTCAAATTTCATTCAGATAGAAACTGGCTTCAGAAGGTCAAGCTAGAAAATCCAGTACAAATATCAAGTCTTGCACAGCCTGAAGTCAGTGTTTCTTTGACTGCAACTAGACATTCATGTTTTGATGCTAAAATGTCAATAAACACATGAAAGAAATAACACTCTTCTTAATTTCACTAGTTCAACATGGCATTTCAAAGCACAGTGGGCTTTGTTCCTAGAGTTTAATAGACATGGTTGAGCAGATGGAACACAAAAAGACAAGCTGTGTTCCAGTTTATTTTCAATGCAGCACTGTTGTCTTGAGAACCAGCCATCCCATTGAACTTGTAAAAACACCAGCAAATTCAAAATGCAGAGGAGAGTGTCAGTATGAAGGCTTATTGTCAAGCAACAGTCCAGGGAAAGCAATTTGTTAAAAACCAAGACATTTCTTATAGAAATACTAATTTAGTTAATCAAGGGGATAATGGCTGAGGAAGGTGAATTATGCTCAGATGTGGTTCTTATGTCATTCTAATACCATAAATGGATCCAAAGCATGGCTATACTGATGATACACAGTCACCATGGCAATGGCTTGGTATTTTGTGTGATCCAATAATATGATGTCAGAAAATGAGAAACAACTTCCTAGGGTAAGCTAACCTGTATAGTATGATAAAGGAAAGGACTCCAAAGCTTCTTTTGTGTTTTTAATAAAATCTGATATCAAACACCTGAGTTCCCTTTGCCACCAACTGCCAGGGAAGTAAGGAATCATACTTTCACTAGGCAAGCTCTCCTATGCGCCCTTTGAGTTTGAAGTTTAAAGTCTGTATTTGGTATTTTGGAAGAGAGGAAGGTGTGAGGAGAGGTGTAATGATGCAACAGAGTACTACATGATACGTGGGTGCAGCAGGCTATAGAAAACAGTCACCCAATTAGGAGGTCTTCACGGTCCCAGCCTCACATTTCACTATTCCTTAAAAAGGGCTCCAAGTAGTTATATCTTCTTGCCTCTACTTTGTCCATGTTTACCATTTCTGCAGAGTAGTTGAATCTAAAGCAAATGTCCTTTCATTTTTACTCAAATGTATGCTAAGAAGTCTTCTGCTTTAAGACAAAAAAAAAGCAACAAGGAGCAGATTTACTTTTCTACCTTAAACAGCCAACACTGACAGAATGTGTGAGATAATTGTTTTCAGCATCAGTCCACAGATCGTTTAGAAGAGTGACCTCAAGAGAAGAAAACAAATTGAACAAATTGGGTGAGCTTACCATTGTGCCAGCTCACTACCTAGATGGAACATGTAGCCTAAAGTAAAGGGCTAGGGGAAAGAGAAAGAGGGAGAACTGTGCAACAGAGACGAGATGTCCTTCCCCACTCTTCTCTTAGGAAGAACAAAACATAGAAAAGAAAATTTAGAATGTTCAGTTAAAGTAAAAAGGTAACCAAAGTAAAAGTTGCCACATTCACATCTTAAATTGCAGAAGAATGAACTTAATTAACAATAACAACAACAACAATGACCACAACAATAACAACAGAACAACAACAACTAAACAAACCAAAATAAAAAATCA